GTCAGCCTCAGCAGCCAGCAGCTGTCTGAGTGAAGAAATGCCTCTAGCTCCAGTGGGCTGGGAGCAGGAGGCAGAGCTGGACCCCAAGGTCTTTCACCCAGCCCCTAGAGCCTGGCACTCTGAACTTGGACTTAAAGCCTCCAAAGTGTAAGAATAAACACCCGTTTGTTAAGGCCGTCCCATTGTGGTATATTCTTGTCAGAACGGCACTAGGGAACCAGAACAGTCCCTGAGTCTGTTTTCAAGTCAGGTTTGCACATAAGCGGGAACAGTTAGGTACAGTTCATATCTAACGTCAGTCAGTCAAATGCCTATCTTAGTGTACCATATATGATGTACCTTTCTATGCATAAACACGGTGAAGGAACACTCCCAGACACACCAAAACATCTTTAATGTGACGGTACGGTGATGATGATAACGTACTGATGTAGCTCGCCAAGTCTTGCCCATTGGTTACTACGAACCATTGTCTCTATACCTTGAGTCTTTACTTAATAGGCTTTATGGCGTTGGTTCCTAACTTTGTGCATAAGTCAGATGTTTGTAACCCAGAGATTACCCATATAAGAGATTAAACAAGAAAGCGAGTGAGCAGAGGTGTGGCGTGAGACAGAAGCCAAGGCACATGGAGCTCTCCCAGGAACCAGGAAGCAGAAGCTAAGAAGACAAGGACCTTCCGACAGAGCCCACAGAGAGAAAGCCTTCCCCTAGGGCCGCCACTCTGAACTCACCCTTCCCCTAGGGCCGCCACTCTGAACTCAGACTTCTAGCCTCCTCAACCGTGAGACCACCTCTCATCAGTCGGGATGCTCTACTGTGGAAGCTTTCATGTTACTGGAGGCTGTACCACCAGTATTTCAAATACCAGCAGGGTCACCCATGATGGACAGGTTTCAGTGGAAATTCCAGACTGAGACAGACTCAGAAGAAGGAAGGGGCCATCCACTTCTCAAAGAATTGGCCAGTGAAAACCTTATGGATAGCAGTGACACACTGATCCATTACTGGAAAACTTTATGAATAGCCCTGAAACATTGTCTGACACGGTGCCAGAAAATGAGCCGTCAGGTCGGAAGGCGCTCAGAATACAGCTGGGGAAGAGCTGCCTCCTCAGAGCAGAGGCGACTTGAACGATGTGGCTGGAGTAAAGCTTTCGGGACCTCCATTTCCTGGGGTGACACGTCTCAAGATGAGAAGCTGCAAACATCCATTAATAATCAGAACATGGAATGTACGAAGTATGAATCTAATAAAATTGGAAGTTGTCAAAAATTAAATGGGATGCATAAAGATCAATATTCTAGGCATTAGTGAGCTGAAATGGACCAGTTTTGGCCATTTTGAATCAGACAACCATATGATCTACTATACTGGGAATGACAAATTGAAGAGGAATGACGTGGCATTCATCATCACAAAGGATGTTTCAAGATCTGTCCTGAAGTACAGTGCTATCAGTGATAGGATAATTTCCATACATCTACAAGGAAGACCCATTAATACTACTAGTATTCAAATTTATGCACCAACCACCAGAGCCAACGATGAGGAAATTGAAGATCTTGACCAACTTCTGCAGTCTGAAATTGACCAAACATTGCAATCAAAATATATGATTATCACTGGTGATTGAAATGCAAAAGTTGGTAACAAAGAAAAATCATAATCATCCGTAGTAGGAAAATATGGCTTTACTGATAGAAATAACGCTGGAGATCACGTGATACAATTTTGCAACACCAATGACTTATTCATTGCAAATACCTTTTTTCAACAATATGAATGGTGGCTATACATGTGGACTTCACCACAGGGAATCAGATTGACTACATCTTTGGCAAGAGGTGATGGAGAAGCTCAGTATCTTCAGCCAAAACAAGGCCAGGAGCTGACTGTGGAACAGACCATCAACTGCTCATACGCAAGCTCAGGTTGAAGTTGAAGATAATTAAAACAAGTCCAGGACAGTCAAAATAATGACCTTCAAAGAGCAGCTCAAGAAGACAAAGTCAATATTACAATGAAATGAGCAAAGACCTGGAGTTAGAAAACCAAAAGGGAAGAACACACTCGGCATTTCTCAAGCTGAAAAATGAAGGAAAAAATTAAGCCTCGAGTTGTAATTTTGCAAGATTTTATGGGCAAAATATTGAATGATGCAGGAATTCCATCAAAAGAAGATGGAAAGAATACACAGAGTCATTGTACCAAAAAGAACTGGTCAGTCTTCATCCATTTCAGGAGGTGGCATATGATCAGGAACCAGTGGTACTGAAGGAAGAAGTCAAAGCCGCACTGAAGGAATTGGCAAAGAACGAGGCTCCAGGAATTGATGGAACATCCATTGAGATGTTTCGACACACGGACGCTGCACTGGAGGCACTCACTCTGTTATGCCTGGTGCTGCTTGTTGTTGTTGTTAAGTGCCGTCGAGTCGTTTCCAACTCATAGCGACCCCATGCACAGCAGAACAAAACACTGCCCGATCCCACGCCAGCCCCACAATCCCTGCTATACTTGAGCCCATCATTGCAGCCACCGTGTCAATCCATCTTGTTGAAGACCTCCCCCTTTTTTCTGGTGCTGCAGGGGACAGCAAATTCTTCTGAATCCAGCCTGCACCTCTGGAAGTTCTCTGTCAATATCCTGCTACAACCGTTTTTGAATTATCTTCAGTAAGATTTTACTTGCATGTGATATTAAAGATATTGTTTGGTAATTTCCACATTCTGTGGCATCACCTTTCTTTGGAATGGCTACAAATACATATCTCTTCCAGTCAGTTGGCCAGGAGGCTGTTGTTCAAACAGAACAAGGGGACACTGCATGGTTTAAAATCAGAAAGGGAGTGCATCAGGGTTGTATCCTTTCACCATACTTATTCAATCTGTATGCTGAGCAGATAATAGGAGAAGCTGGGCTATAGGAAGAACATTGGAGGAAGACTCGTTAACAACCTGTGATACACAGACAACACAACTTGGCTTGCTGAAAGTGAGGATGACTTGAACCACTTATTGATGAAGGTTAAAGACTTACAAGTCTGCAATATGGATTACACTTCGATATGAAGAAAACTAAAATCCTCTCAGCTAGACCAGTAAGCAACATCATGATAAACAGAGAAAAGATGGAAGTTGTCAAAGATGTCATACTACTTGGTTCCACTGTCAACACCAGTTGGAAGCAGCAGTCAAGACACCAAAAGACATATTGCACTGGGCAAATCTGCGAAAGACCTCTTTAAAGTGCTGAAGAGCAAAGATATATCCCTTTGAAGTTAAGGTGCACCCAACCCAAGCCGTGATACTTTCAGTCACCTGTGAGAGCTGAACAGTGAATGAGGAAGACTGAAGAAGAGTTGATGCTTTTGAGTTGTGGTCTTGGCTAAGAATGCTGAGAGTACCATGGACTGCTGAAAGGACTAACAGATCTGTCCTGGAAGAAGTGCAGCCGGAATGCTTCTTGGAAGTGAGAGTGGCCAGACCTAATCTCACTACTTTGGTCATGTTGTCAGAAGGGACCATTCCCTGGAGAAGGATATCATGCTTGGTAAAGTGAAGTCAGCGAAAAAGGAGTAGGCCCTCCATGAGATGGACTGACACAGTGGCTGCATTGATGGGCCCAGGTACAGCAAGGATTGTGAGGCTGGCTCAGGAAGGGGTGGTGTTTCTTCCTGTTGTACATGGGGTCGCCGTGAGTCGGAGCTGACTCTACGGCACCTATCAACAACAAGAAACATGAGAGAATAACTTTCTGTTTGTTAAAGCCACCCCCTTGTGGTATTTCTGTTAGCAGCAGCACAAGATAGCTAAGAGAGCCCCTGTGTGCAGATGGGGGCCAGGGCCCACAGCTGGTGAGCTGGGCTCTGACGTTCCGGCTTTTGCCTCAAGTTGTGATGAGAGAAGCCTGTGTGGGTGTGGCCTGGCCAGTCGAGAGCAGGATGGAAGGCAGGGACGTGGGCTTGCAGGCCGAGAAGCAATAAGGCCCTGAGGTGTGTTGGCCAGCGCTAGGGAGGCAAGGAAGGAGACTGGGAGTCTGGTGGCTGGGATGGGGCTACATGGTCCTGCTTCCAGCCCAGCACTGTCCCTTGCTGGCATGGGCATGTGGGGACTGGGGAGTCAACCACCAGACTGTAGGCTGCTCACTGTAGGACTGTCCTGAGGCCACAGGTGTGCACCCCTGAATGCTTAGCTTGCTCTTGGCCCCGGGAGCCTCCTTGGGGGATGGAAGGTGGGCGGTGCAGGGGCCAGAGTGGGACAGAGGGTCGGAGAGCACAGGTGATGGAGGGCAGGCACTGTGGGGGACAGAGGGCCTGGTGCTACAGGGGACAGGAGTCGGGGGGGACGGGTGGAGCACCCTGAGAGACCGAGGGCAGAGCGCTGCAGGGCTTCTGGGGCAGGACGCGACACAGGACGAGAGTGGGGCAGAGAATAGGACACCACAGGTGATGGAGGGCAGGGCACTGTGGGGGCCTCTGGGGGGCACGGAGGGCAGGGTGAGCCAGGCCCGCTGATGGGGAGTGAGCTGCTTCCGCATCATCAGAAGTCCCCTTCCCCCCACTGTCCGCTGCAGTTCTGTGGCATTGGTTCCACCCGCCAGCCCCTGGCTCTGGGTTCCAGCATAGGCACCATGGACAGGACCCCCCTCCCCTGCCAGCATGGAGGCCTTGTGTCCTACAGAGCCATCCTTCCCAAGCCCAAGGCAGGTGTCGCTGGTGCAGACGAGCGAACATGCCATTTGACCCAGGGGTTGTCCACACACAAGCTCTGGGAGGGTGAGCGTGGGTTCTCTGCCTGTGCCCACCCCAGGCCATGGTCTAAGTCAGCCCTGCCAGGCAGATACTGGCTCCAGAAACCAGCCCTTTGGCTGCTGGTGAAAGCCAGAGCTGCTGGGGCCACGGAAGCCACGTGTCCGCAGACAGGGCGCCTTGCCTTCCCTTCCCACAGGCGCCCAGCAGCCCACACACTCATCCCAACCTACTTCTGTCTCCCCAGAACCTCCAGTGGGCCCGTGACGTGTTGCTAGGCAGCAATATCCCGTGGCAACAGCTACAGCACATGCCGGCACAGGGGCTCTTCTGTGAGAGGAACAAGACCAATTTCTTCAACGTGAGTACTTTGCTGGTTCATTTCCCAGGCCGCTGGCTCCGTGTCTCACCGGGGCGTCCCCTCCCGCCCCAGCAGTGTTCCTGGCTGTACACTGTGGCATCCTTGGAGGGCAGGCGGGTGGCATGGCTGAGGGCACAGCCCTGGCACAGGGCAGCGTGGCCCTAGCAGTGGTTCGCCGGCTGTGGAGAGAGGCTGGTTGATGAGTGTGGTGAGGGGCCTCCAGGCCCCCAGCTGCTGCCCCAGAGTGCCCCACGGGTCTCAGCATATCAGAGTTTGATCAAGGCAGGGCGCTGCTATGTTGAACCAAGAAAGTTTGGCAGGCACTGGACTGCTGACAAACTCCCTAGATTCAGCCCTGGGAGGGGACCCTTCTCAGACAACACTGCCCTCATGAGGCCTGCCTGCCTCCGACCCCCAGGCCCCCACTCACCCCCTTGGCACCCCACCCAGCCCAGCTGCACCTGGCAGCCAGGCCCTCCCCACCCTCCCCTCCAGGCCCTCACCCTGCCTTGCGCCAGCCTGCCAGTTCCGAGCTGTGTGGCTTTGGTGAGTCGCGCAGCCTCTCTGAGCTTCGGTTCCTTACATGTTTTCTCTGAGTCCCCGTTACCTGCAGGGAAATTGAAGGACGGGGCCTGCCCAGGAGCTGGGGTCCCCAGGGCTATGGTGGAGACACTTCCATGGGCCCCTCTGGGGGGAAGTGTGGCTGAGTCCCAGGTCCCCCAAGAAGCCAGCCATGGGGAGAGGCTCTGTGTCCAGGCCTCTTCTCTTTCAGGCTGCAGTCCCTGGGCCAGGCACTGCTCTGGGCCTACAGACCAGTGTCTCTCTAGACAAAGTAGTAGCCACCAGGATGTGCAGGAACACAGAGGCCCAGGCCCAGCCACTCCCCGTCGCTCCAAGGCCCTGCCCTAGCCCCTCCCTGGCAGCAGCTGCTATCCTTAACCTCGTGCGCATCTCCATCCAGAAGACGTCTGCCTGTCAGCACAAACAAAATAGCACACCTGGCCAACCCATCCCTTGACCTGTTACTTCACAGTCTGTGTTGGAGCTCGTTCTGGGACCTTGGTTTTTTGCGATAGTTGCATGACAGCCCCGTGTGTGAATGGTCCATGGCTCACCTACCCGCCGTGCTCTCTCAGTGGGCGTTTACATGGTCCCAGATCTTTGTCACTACAGACAGCACTGCACCCTGCCTGTCTGCACGGAAGTGGAAGTCCACATCCCCAGCAGTGGGACTTATGGGCACCTTTAAAGCATGACTAGCCCCACTATCCAGACACTACGTGGCCCACCCTTGCACCCTAGACGCAGCCATTCAGACCCGACGTCCCACTCTGTCCCCAACAGCACGCTGCGTCCCCAAACGTTTGTGTGTTTGCCATTCAGTAGGCAGCACCAGGTGGGGGCAGAACAGCCCCAGACAGCCATGTGCCAAGGACCTGAGGGACAGGGGATCTGCAGGCCAGGCAGGGGGCCGGGGGGTGGCCCTTCCAAGCCGACCTGTGCTGTCCTCACCACAGCAGCCGGCTGCCCCTCAGAGCAGAGCCCTGCCCCAGTCACCTGGTGTCTAGCATGTGAAGAACCGCTGGGCAGGTGCTGAGTGTGTTCAACACAGGAGTTTGTCCCACACACGTTCTAAGTGTGACCCGACGTTGCTGTCAGCTTCTCGAAGGTGTGCTGAGGGCTACCCTGGGCTGCCAAGCGGGCAGGGCCAGGAGAGCAGGCTGGTTCTTCTCCTTCTGGGGCGCACCGGAGCCTGCCACCTTGTCTAGGGGCCGGCAGAGGGGGTCCAGAGCACACTGGGGCCTGCTGCCGCGTCTGGGGGCCAGTGGAGGGAGTCCAGGGTGCACTGGGGCCTGCCACGCGTCTAGAGGCCAGCGGAGGGGGTCTCGGGTGCACCGGAGCCTGCCGCTGTGTCTAGGGGTCAGTGGAGAGGGCAAGAGGAGGAGACTGCGTGTGAGGCGGGAGTGAGGGCTAGGTCAGCGGGTGCCCTGTCCTGTCTTCCGTCTGTCCCCACTCTTCCAGGCCACCACACCAGCTGGGCTTGGCCTCATTCTTCCCTCTGGCCGCTAGCTGTCTGGACAGCCCCCTATCTCGGCACTGGTGGGGGACGTTCTGTTGTCTCTGAATGACACATGTTGAAAAGTGTGGACTTTGGGAGCAACATGTGGTCACTGCACACGGCTCCAGGCCACAGTGGCAACCTGGCCCCGTCTCACCCAGCCCCGCTCCTCTCAGGGCTGCACCTTTCTGGCTGCGCACACAGAGTAGACAGACTGCTCCTGCAGCTTCCAGAAGTATATGTGTCGCAGTGTATGTCGGGGTCATGGCACGTGTGTCATAGTGTGTGTGTGCCATTGTGTGTGTCATAGTGTGTGGGGGAGGTCTGGCATATATGTGTGTCAGTGTATGTGTGTGCCAGTGTGTGTGCAGGTGTCATTGTGTCATAGTGTGGGAGGCCTGGCATATATGTGTGTCAGTGCACATGTGTGTGTCATAGCATGTGCGCTGTGTGTCATGGGTGCATGTGTCAGGGTATATGCATCATAGTGTGTATATGTGTCCCATAGTGCATGTGTATTTGTGTGTGGTTCTGTGTTGTAGTGTGTGCCATGGCATGTGTGTCACTGTGTGTGTGTATTGTAGCATGTATGTGTTGTAGCATGTGTGTGATAGCATGTATCAGCGCACATGTCATAGTGCGTTGTAGCATTTGTTTCATAGCATGCATATGTCATAGTATGTGTGAATCATAGGATGTATGTCATGGCATGTATTGTAGCATGTTTGCAATAGTGTGCATGTCAGTGCAAGTGTCATAGTGTATCATAGCATTTGTTGCACATGTGTTGTAGCGTGCATGTGTCATAGCATGTGTCATAGGAGGTGTCATAGTGTATTGTATCCTGTATATGATAGTGTGTCAGTGCATGTCAGTGTGTTACAGCATGTGTTACAGTGTACACATGTCATAGCATGTGAGTCATAGGATGTGTGTCATAGCATGTGTCACAGTGTGTGTGCCGCATCCTGTGCAGTCCCCAGCTGCTCTTGGTAGGCCTGTGCTTTGGGCCCCGGGCCTGCAGTAGCCCCCTGGCACACACATCTTGGTGCTCCTGCCAGGTCCCTCTCTGAGCCCCCTCGCCTGGCCAGGCCCGGGCTGATCCTTGTCAGCCCTCTGATGAGCTGGGGCTGGGCCGACAGTCACAGAGGGCAGCCCTGGGACACCTGCAGGCTCGCAACAGGGCCCTGTGTGCATTACGAGCAGCGCGTGAGCTCATCCAGGGCAGAAGCCGTCACTGGGGGAACATGAGGGACACGCAAGTGTGGGACTCAGACGTCTGCTCTCCTTATGAAAGCTGCCCATGGGGCACACACACACCTGGCTGCTCCCTGCAGGCCCAGCTGTGGCCCGTACATGGTGTGCTCTTGGTTGGCTCCCTGATCGAGCACCAGGATGGGTAGACTGACCCCAGCCTTGTGATGGAGGCCCCCAAGGGGACATGCCCAGACTCCTGAGCCCACGTCTCTCCCCGCCGTCCCCTCTGACCCACGCTCCCTCAGTGGCCGGCATCCTGTGAGCCTCAGGCTTTCCCGGAAGGAACCATTCTAGCTGGAACGGGTCTGGGCTCTGGGGCATTCATTCAGCCAGCACCTCAGCCTCCCAGCCTCCCCAGCCACTTGGGCCTGTGCAGCATCCAGGTAGGAGGCTGTGGGCCCAGGATTGTGTTGGGCCCCAGGCCCCCCCTCAGGCAGGCTCTCACTGGCTATGGCCCATGGGCTGGCCTGGCCCTTGGGGACATCTGCACCCCCCCCCAAAAGAAACCTCAGAGGAGAGAAGCCTGCAGCCAAGGCCCCGGCCCATGGGGCTGACAGGCTGATGACAGGTGCCCCCAGGGAGCTCTGGGGGGCTGGCTGGGCCGTGATGGCCACGCAGTGTTCAAGGCTTGTCCTGAGGCAGGGCAGCCCTGGCAGGTGACCATCAGGAGAGGGCTGGGCCCCATGCAGTCTGACAACCGAGTGACAACAGATCGAGGCAGCGAGGCTGGCCTCGGGCTGGCAAGTGTAGGGCCTTTCCAAGCGAGCGCCAGGTTCAGGGGGTGGGGGCCTGGAGAGCCCAGGGGCTGCCCTCTCCGGGCAGAGGGGTGAGGCAAGCAGGTGCTGGGCCAGGCAGCAGGTCCCGTTGGGTAGCTTCAGCGTGTCTCTGGGCTCCGGAAGCTTCCGAGGCTTCTTGCATCCATGTGCACCACTGGGCAGCTGGACCTGCATGGCCTGGGGCCGGCCTCTGTCCATGGTGAGCATCTGTCCTCAGAGCTGACACAGAAACGTTCCCATGGCAACCAACCCAGAGACACAGTCCCTCCTTCCCCAAAATGTTGGCTGATTCCAGTAGGCAGGCGTGTGCTCCTTCCAGTCCTGTCTCCACCAGTGGAAAGGGAGCGCATGCCCGGCCCTGGCCATTTCCCAGGCCTGCTGGCTGGCGGCGACATTAACCTCGGGTTGAGGGAGGGGAGGGGTGCTGGCGGGCCCATGCTGCCCCTGTGTGTGGCTCGGCCTCCACAGCCAGGCAGCCGTACACGGGGATCCCCCTGTGTGCAGGGGAGCAGCCGGGGACACTGGGGAGAGGGCAGGCCCATGGCCGCTCACAGCAACAGAATGGAAGGCCTGGGCACATGCTCCACAGCATGGACCGGGGCTCGGCCTGCAGGTCCCGGGAATGCTCATGGAGCCTGGTGGCCAGAGAGGCCGTGGCTCAGACGGGGGCTGGGCCCGAGTGTTGGTTCCAACCCTGATCACGCACAGGTGAGGCACAGGGCTGAGCCGAGGTCCCGTCGCCATCTGTCCAGGTGAGGGTAGGCACTTGTGAAGGCACAAGACTGCAGTGGATGGGCGTCTTTGAAATGTCACATGGCCACCGTGGAAGAGCTGGGGCAGGGCCAGGAGCCACCAGCCCAGTTGCTGGGGCTGCCAGCCAGCGCCTTGGAGTGCTTTAGAGCACATGA